GAGCAAACACAAGTTTAGAACTCCAGAAAGATACCTCAAAGTAGATGAGTCCACTTTCTTTAAAAAAAAATCAATACGTGTCTCTGAGTCCATATCTTTTATACTCATGGCCTAGAAGAAATGTCACTTTTCCTAGAATGTGTTATTATGGCCAGTTCTGACTGGATCAGACATTCAAGCAAGCCAAAGTAAGCTACAGTTTGTCAAGTTGTTAACTTCCATTGTAAACAGTATCCTTTAACCAGTAACTCAGGGTTTTATAACTGCAGAAAGAAGGCACTCCAATAAGTTCAGTAAATATGAGCTGAAAACCTCTTCGTCTCTTCTAAAATTCCAGCTATCAAATCAGAGCAAAATTTGGTTTAATGCATCAACTGACAAACAAATCAAGATATCAGAACAGTTCCAAATGTGAACAGCAGATTAATTTTACAGAGCTACATTTTAACAACTGATGCCAATATTGTCACTGTTTTATCCTTTTGCCTTCCCTGCTATTACCTATCTTTAAATAAACCTTATTCTGGTAAGTGACCAGTAGTATCCCATTGTGGGTTTAATTTGTATTTCTTCTGATTGCTAATGAAGCTGATGTGTGTGTGTGTGTGTGTGTGTAAAACATTTGGTTTCTCAGTTGGGAAATGTCCAATTTACCTGATGGTATTTGTCTCTTACTAATATTCTGGAACACAAAATGGATTCAAATATCTTCTTCTAATTTTGTATTTGTATTTCTATTGTCTTCAATATCTTCTAGTCAACAGTTGTTCTTAACTTTGATGTAGTACAAGTCAGCTTTGCTACAAAATTATTGCTTTGGTGTCTTGCTTAAGATTGGGACCCAAACATCAATAAAATATTCTTGTCTTTTCAAACTTAGTTCTGTAACTTACATGTCATTAATTCAGGATATGATATGAGATGAAGTAGAGGAAATTTTTGCTTTATTTTTTTCCATTATGGATATTCAGTCATTCCAAGGCCATGTGCTCAAAATAGTATTCTAGCCAGTATAATTTCCACAGCATTCCCATTTAATTCACTCGCTGGGCTTATGTAGAGGTAGATGGGTCTTAGAAAACTGCTATAGATGATCAAACTTAAGTGAGTCATGACTCCAATTGTGGTTGTTCTTCCAAATTGAGTCTTGGACTGCAGCAAATCAACACAGCTCTGAGTACTTGGTATCTACTTCTTGGGCAGGCAAATGCTTCTTAGTGTATATCAATTTGCAAAGACCTCTAGAACAGCCACATACTTCCCCTTCAGGACTCCTACTTAAGGATTATATCAACTTAATGGCTCTGGGTCGTAAGTCACTATTAAAGAGCTTTCCACATTTCACTATCCCATTAAATATCTTGTTAAACCTAGTGAATAGAAAGTAGCAAGCACTTCACATACCTTAGAAGACTTTATTTTTGTATGTGTACCTTTCCTGGGGCTTGAACTCAGGGCCTGGGTGCTATCCTTAAGCTTTTTGCTCAAGGCTAGCACTCTACCACTTAAGCCACAGCTCCATATATGGGTTTTTTTTTTTTTTTTGGTAGTTTATTGGAGATAAGAATCTCCTCCAGGAAATGGAACCAAGAGGATTTTTTTCTTTGCATTTTTCTTTTCTTTTTGCCTTGTTTTTTATGTCTTTGGGAGAGTAAGGGGAGGCATAGAAAACTAGACACTATGTTGAAAATGAACTCTAAAACTTGTGGGTAGGGCTGGAAGAGAAAAAGGGGGAGAGTATGAGGGAAGAGATGACATTGTCCAAAAAGGAATGTATTCTATCCAACTTATATAACTGTAACCCCTCTAAACATCACCTTTATAATAACAATAAAGAAATTTTTTAAGTCTTACAGACTTTCTTTCCCACACTGGCTTTGAACTTTGATCCTCAGATCTTAGCTTCCTGAATAGCTAAGATTACAGGTGTGCCTATTTTTAAGAGGGAGATCAAGTCCATAAAAAATCCACAAGCCCATCAGCTTGGTGACAGTTTTAGGATCTAATGTTTTGAAGGACACTCCAGTGTGAAAGAACCAGTAAGCACCCTCTCCAACGGTGTAACAAGGATGTCAGCCTTAGCAGCTTTTGCACTCCAGTGTTCCACCCTTTTCTTCTACCTCCTGTCCAGCCCCCACACACTCCCCCTCATTCTTCTTTCCCAAGCACAGTCAACATGTTTTTAACTGATCTAGAACCTAGACTGGTTTGGTCTCCTAGGTGCACTGATTAACCATGCCCTGAACTATTGCCGTGTTTCAGTTCTAGAATTTCTGTTTGGTTGACAGGTTTTGTACAAATATGCCTTGCCACCTTTACAGTTTCTAATTCCATTTTACACTTTGGTTTTTATTTCCTGGAGCATTTCAGGCATAACAGCTCTAGGATCTATGTCTGAAAATGCCAGCGCGTGGAGTCCACATGGGTGCAGTTCTATTGCCTGCTTCTTGCTGCTTCTGTCTTTCATTTCCACATGTATCTTATTATCTCCGATACTTTGTTAAATACTGAATTTTAAAAATAAATCATAGATAAAGCTTGGGGTTTCTGATGTAATTTTTCCTCCAAAGACGATCAGAAAATTTGAAAGCTTTAAAATCATGGATTTCCTTATTCCAAGTTTGAGATTTAAGATTTTTCAGGACTTGGATACTTTTTAAAGGATGTGTCATATATATACATATATGACACATCCTTTAATACATATATGATATACATATATATATATATATATATATTCAGTTTTACTCAATGAAAAGCTCATTACTCACCAAAGGAGAATTCCTAATTATTTTTCTCGAAGTACTGCAAACTAAAAGAACAACAGCAGTCTGAGGCAAACATATCAACAAAAACTATATAGATCCTCTTCATCTAATATGAACATTTAAAAAATACCATGGACAGATTTTTTTGGCATATAATTTTTTTGTTTGTTTGTTTGTTTGTTTTTGGTCCAGTCGTGGGGCCTGAACTCTGGGCCTGGGTGCTGTCCCTCAGCTCTTCAGCTCAAGGCTAGCGCTCTACCACTTGAGCCACAGCGCCACTTCCGGCTTTTTTCTTTTTGCTTATGTGGTGCTGAGGAGTTGAACTCAGGGCCTCAGGCATGCAAGGCAAGCGCTCTACCACTGAGCCACCTTCCCAGCCCTTGGCATATAATTTTTTATCCAAAGGTCAAGTTAATTGTACAGATACTGTAAATACTATCAAAGTTTAGTTTTCCATTCTGGATGAATATGTATTTGTGAAAGATTTAGATATAACTATCTAAGAAAGTAAAAACCATACTTTTTACACTTTACCAGCCACACTAGGAGTGAGGGCCATTAAAAAGGGTGAATGAGGGTGAGTATGGCCAAAGTACTTTATATGTATGTATGAAGATAGAACCAGGAAACCATTTTAAGGAGGAGAAGGGAAAGGGAAGAGAAAAGTAGAGGTGAATTTAATTGGGTACACTAGATGTATTTATGGAAATGACATTGAAACCCTTTGTAGAACTAATAAATGCTAATATAAATCTTTTCACCTCGCCTCTGAGTATCACTGTCAGTCTTGATAGAATAAGCCACATTACAATGTTATGATCCGCCAGCTCATATCAGCCATATGGTCAATATTCTGAATACTGTTCTTTTCCATACTTTAATTTTCACTAAAACTACAACAAATCAAATGAAAGGGTAATAATAACCAGCCCAAAGTTTTTGAGCTAATTTCTTGTTTTGCACAGAGACAGCGTGGCTTCATCTTGCCATATATTCTGGTCCCCTAGAATGATACTAACTCCATCTGCCAGTATTTCAGAAAAACTCATAAATGCCCCCCCCCCAAAAAATGCAATAAATGAAACTGAACAATCCCATCTCGTGAATGGTGCTCTATAACATGACCATAGGCAGGTGTAATTTAATAACAAGGGTGCCTGAAAATACGGTCATCAGACTGAACCCCGGTCACACAGCAGCACCAGCAAATGGTCCTCAGCATGCCATATCTCCTCACTTCAGCCCCAACCTATTAAAACTTTTTAAAGTGCTAAGTGTGGTTGTGCACACCTGTAATGTCAGCTACATGGCCCATAGGTGGGCGGCTCACCCCTGAGCAAAGTCCACAAGCACCTACTAAAGTATTAAGGGCTAAAGGTGTGACTCAAGTGGTAAAGCATCTGCTTAATAAGCATGAGGCCTTGTGTTCAAACCCCAGTACTGCCAAAAAGAGAATATATAAAGACATCAAGGCACTCTGTAGGTTGCAGTGAGGATTGGATTTCCTCCATTCCTTGGCTTCTTATAGAAGCCCAGCTGGCTTCACACACACAAATGTCCTCTCAGATGCAAGCAACTTTTTTGTTGTTGTTAGATTTCAATGCCATCTTTTACTTTGAAACTTTCTCTCTCTTAGGTCATAGTTACCATGATTTTAGAAGATCTCATAACTAGTATAGCTATGTAATTTCTTCTATTCAGCCAGCCAAATTCATTTTCTGTAAACATTTCTCCCCTTGAAAAACCAGAAATCAAACATTTCAAATATAATTTTAATTTAAAATGTCTTATTTCAAAATGCCAAAGAAAGCAATTCTAACTCAGGTTATACATGTTTTGGTTTTGTGCTTTGTTTTTGTTTGGGGTACTAGGTCAGGTACTAAGCACTTCACCACCTGGAACACACCTCCTGACATTTTTGCTTTTATTTTTCAGATAGGATCTTGAGAGTTTTATCCATGGCCAGCCTCAGACCTTGGTCCTCTTATCTACATCTCCCTTGTAGTTGGGATTACAGCCATAAGCCACCACACCTGGCCCCACATTCTATAGCTCTTCGTTGCTTCACATTTAGAGCAATAATTGATGCAATTCCACAAAGAAATCAGTGTTTTTCTTCTCTTAACATTCAACTTAAAACAAAAGACCTGGTAAGCTGAATGGAGAAGAATCATGATTAAATGTCAAAAACATAAACACGAAAAATAAACACATGAACAAATGCCTTTTAAAAAAATCATTTAATTGGAAGAAAATTAGCCAGAAAATTGCATAGTTCCAGTCTATATAAAACAAGGGCTCAGATGACAATGTCCAAAAAGAAATATACTATTACCTGACTTGTAAAACTGTACCCACCCCTCTGTATATCAATAATATGTTAAAAGTTAATTTTAAAAAAGAACACAGGAAGCACAGGTCTGTTTCATAAAGACACCATAAAAAAGTAAAAAATAATAAATAAATAAAACACAGGCTTGTTATCTCTTTTTATTATCACCTAATAAATATTCTGTTTTCTTGGCAAAAATTAGGACATAAGGGGTATTTTCTTGTGTAATATTCCATGAAACACAACTGGTTTTTGTCCCTGAAAAGAGGAAGACTGTACTTCAGAGAAACTTTAAAATTGCCCTCTTGTGATTCTTTCAATGAGCCCATCCCCCACCCTTGGCAAAAACAACAAAACCCTGCTGCTTGATCCAGACTCCTGTCATTCATTTCATTTTTCCAGCCCGAGCACAAATTCAGAGAAAAGCTTCTGAAGTCCTGCAGCTTCAAATTCCTTTTGTAAGTCATCCAGCACCAAATACTCTTTGACTTCAAATGCCAGAAACCTGAATTAGACAAGAGAAACTCATGAATATGCCTAGATTTGTCAGAGTATAATTATCGATTCCGTTGCTTTTCCATCTGCAATAGTACTAAATTATACCTTTTGTGTTCTGTCTGTACTTTTGTTTCCAATAGTACACTAATCATTTTCTCTTTGCATTTCTTTCCACTTGAGTCCACATCGACTTTGGCTGTTTTCTGAAGCATCAGGTACTCCTAAAGTGATAGATCAGTACATGAAATACTTCTGAGCCTCAAAGACTTAAAGAGGTCATAAACCTGTGGGCTTATTTTTATGCTTACAGAGGACTTCACTGGGTCAAACAGTAAAACAGTTACATTGCAGCATGCAGAATGTGCATAAGGAGGGATATAACTGAACTGTACACGTTTCAATCTAGAATGGACTACCAGCCACCTGATTCTGGGTTGGTTGTTTAAATCCCCTATGCCAGAGCCAGGTCCTGGTGGCTCACGCCTATAATCCTAGCTACTCTGGAGGCTGAGATCTGAGGATCACGGTTCAAAGACTGCCCGAGCAGGAAGGTCCATGATACCCTTATCTCCAATAAAACCACCAGAAAACAGGAAGTGGTGCTGTGGCTCAAGTGGTAGAGCACTAGGCTTGAGTTGAAAAGCTCAGGGACAGAGTTCAAACCCAGAGTTCAAGCCCCATGACCTACAAAAAAAAAAAAAAAAAAATCCCCCCTCCCCTCAGTACCACATAAACAGAAAAAAGCCGGAAGTAGTGCTGTGGCTCAAGTGTAGAGCACTCACCTTGAGCACAGAGAGGCTCAGGGATAGTGCCCAGGTGTCGAGTTCAAGACCCAGGATTGGAAAAAAAAAAAAAATTCCCCCAGGCCTTGTTTACCTCCTTTCTAAAATAGGACTCCCAACAGCACCTACATGCTAGGTGGTGTGATAGATAGATAAATAAAACAGTGCATGCTTAGCACACACAGGGACCAGGCTGTGATGTTCAGGCACATTTCACAGACAAGCTCTCACTGTCATAACCAGCATCTGCACAGAGTGATCAGGCAGGCGCTCAGGCCTCCTCCATGCCAAATCAGGGGTCTCTGGCAAAGCATGGGCAAAGCACTCTCAATCCTACTGAAGAATCTTATTTAAAAAATCAGAGAAATTCACATAAACTGACATTTCAGAAACCACTATTCAACAAAAAGAAAAAACTCAGAAAAACATAATTTCTCTGTATTAGCAGAGTTACAGTCATATGAATAGAGTTGTTAATTAATTGATGACTCAATCCTAGTAACAGCATGTACAAAATACTGCACTTATCCTAATAGGCCCACACTGGTTCCAAGAAAAATCTGAATTTCAGGTAAATATGAGTGAGAAAATTAATTAGTATTCATTTCTGTCAGATGGTATTTTACTCAGAGATCAAAGTCTATAAATGCACTATGAATTGCCTGAATATCAGTGAGTTCCTTGTTCAGGCACCAATCCAGCATAGACAATAAATGTGAGTTTTTTGTTGTATATATTGTATACTGTAACTTAGCCAAAGCCCAGGAAATCTATGTTAAACAGGTTCTCTAATAAGAGCCCACCTTGAAAAAAAACTTGATCATTACTCCACACAAGATTACAGGTTGTTCATACTCAGTCTCTTTTAAATAAATTCTACTGTAATTATTCCTGACCCAATCTATTTGAAAGTGTGAAACTTATGAAATGATTTGTATCTCTTTTAAGATCTAAAATATAATAAGCAGTTCTCCTTGTCTGGTCCCTCATAAAATAGGTTAGAGGGGTTCAGAGTAGGCATTTGAAAAATCCGAAGATGATGGTTTTGAAAGCCACCACTGTGATAAGTCAAGCGGAAAGCAGGGTAGGTAGGAGGTGACAGGCTGACAGTCCTCCTGATTCTAGCTCTAGGCTGTAAGGGCCAAGCCCCTGCTCTCCAGGTTGTACAGATACAAAGTTAAACTGTCAGGATTTATTTTTAACTGCCAGCAAGTTACAAATGTTGCAGGCTACCCACCAATACACATCTTGCTGTGCCTAACTACTGAAAGAAATATTAACATTCACAACCTTTTAATGTGTACTTATAAAGTTGAGACTTATAGCTAATTATAAAAACAAACATATGGGCCACAGTTGTTTTTTTTAATTGCCTATCACTTTCATTAAGTGGCATGGTTTTTTAAATACAATCCTATTCTTCCTATTCTTGAGGTGTGCTAGTTTGTAGCTGTAATTAGGAGCGAGACATGCTTCAAAAAGAAAATGAAGATCCATTTATAGAGTGATATGGAAAGCAGAAACATCTTCATGATTACTCTACCCCATTGTTATAAGACACACTTAAAGGCACACCATTTTAAGGAGAAAATAATCAGGTTCACATTCAGCACTTAATTTGGGGGCACCTTGATGTTGCTCCGGTCTCCTTGTAGTAAAATCAGTATTATTTTACCCATGAACATCAGTCTTCCAGTGAGCCTTAAGTCGGAAGCCCATTTCTGCACGGTTCTGATGTATTTAGTCTTTGCCCTCATATGATCTAGATGCAAAAGAGCCATCCACAATCCATCATCTGTGGTCAGGCTGACTGCAAAAGCATCCTGACCACTGCCCTCTCTGGGCTCTGGCTGGTTGAGGATATGCCGGAGATTCTGCTGAAGCCAGAGGACCAGCTCATGAACCATAGGTTCTGACAGGAGGGTCTCTGCTTGCTCCAGTAACTTGTCTTTCACAGTCTCGCACTGGGCTCTGGTCAGATGTTCAGAATTAACGGAGATCCTAGGCAGGCATGAGGGGTAGGTGACAGGTAATTGGAATACCAACTCTACGGGTATGTCTACATCTCCAAGTCCTTCAGCCTTCGTGTGAATCCTGAATACAGTCCCATCTGTTTCTGAAAGACATAGAAAAAGAACCATTAGGTGAACAGCTTTCAATTCCAATGGAATGCTAATAAGTGAAAAGTTTTGTTTTGGATTATAATTTCTTTTATGGAAAATAAATCATAGAGTGATTTTAGGAAGAGGCATACAATACTAAGAAAGCCAAGACTTATAGAGCATGTCCTTCAACCATAAATAGATAAATACACACATTTGCTCACACCACTATCCAAGACTTACCTGGATTTAAACTATCCCATCCCCCACCCCCTTTCTCCCTCAGCCCTGGGCTTGAACTCAAGGCCTAGATGCTGTCCCTGAGCTTTTCACTCAAGGCTAGTGCTCTATCATCTGGGCTATGGCTCCACTTCTGGCTTTTTTTTTTGGTGCTTAATTGGAAACAAGCATCTCAACAGACTTTCTGCCTGGGCTGGCTTTGAACTCCAATCTTCAGCTCTCAGCCTCCTTAGTAACTAGGTTTGTAGGTGGAAGTCACTAGTGTAAAGACCATTTTTTACTAAATTATCAAAAGTTTCTCACCATACAATTCATAGCTTATAATGCTGGAAATCACTGATAATCTCTTAGGAATTTTCCAAGCAACAGTCCCCTGTAAACATTAAGAAAAGTGATGACAAAGTTGTGTGCTAACTCATGAAAGAGTATCTTGTAACAAGTCACAGTGGAACCCCAGGAGGCTTGCACGGCTGCGTGTGACACTGTGACTGCCTGGTCCCCTCCTATCTTCCTTCTGATACAGGAAGGCCGGTGTGACATGAAGCGGAGAGATGAACTGAAACAGTGTATATCAATTTAACCTGTCTGGCTCCCTGAGGGGAAGGCAGGGGAAGGGACACAGGATATGGCATGAAATACTCTGTTCTCTTTCAGACATGCTCAGCTTCCCCTTCTGATGTGTTCCACACCACTTCACCCCACTTTCCACAGAGTTGATGAAACAGCAGGCTTATTCATTCTGCAAGGGGCAGAGGCACAGGGACCAGAAGCGAACAGCTGGGTGCTGGTGGATCACACCTGTAATCCTAGCAGTTCAGGGGCTAAAATCTGAGGATCGAAGTTCAAAGCCAATGGGGAAAGAAAGTCCATGAGATTCTTATTTCCAACTAACCACCAAAGAAAAAAAGGCTGGAAATGGAGCTCTGGTTCAAGTGGTAGAGTACCAGCCTAGCACCCACGCTACTGAGAAAAGGACAGAACTGGGCACAGAATCTCTTGGAGTCAAAGCAGCCTCTACCTCCTTGGTTCTCCATCTGCCTATTTCATTCCTCTTCATGAGGAAAGCAGTCAAAATTGTTCTTGAATTTCATACCTGGGTAACTGTTTAGGAGCCTCAACAACTGAGATGCAAACATAACCCCATTTTAAAGACCCTAACAGAGTTCTAACTAATCTCTTCCGAACCTCTGACTGCAAGTATATAAAAGCCCCAGTGACATTATTCTGGTTCATGCACGTCTGTTGCACAAAGATTTACTATATCAGGACAGAACACAGTAACCAGCCTAAAGACCATATTCCTATAACTGAAACTTCGTTTACACAAGTGAAAAGAGTACTATATAAAGAAACATTTCCCAAATCTAACAGGGTACATCCCTCTGAAACCTACCACATTTCTCAAGATTCTTTTCTTTCATTGAGTTTATGGAGTTATTGTTGTTATTACTGTTGTTTTGTTTTTGTGCCAATCCTGTGGCTTTAATTCAGGGCCTCGGTGCTGTCCCTGAGCTCTTGTGCTCATGGCTAGCACTATACTATTTGAGGCACACCTCTACTTCCAGCTTTTTGCAGGCTAACTGGAGATAAGACTCTCACAGATTCTCCTGCCCAGGTGGGCTTCGAACTGCAATCCTCAGATCTCAGCCTTCTGAGTAGCTGGAATTACAGGTGTGAGCCACCAGCACCCAGTAAGATTCTGTTTTTAAAAAACATATTTGGTAAAAATGTTTATACATCAGTCACATAAATCCAATTCACTTTGACACTTGCATTTATAAACAGACCTGCAGACCTATAACAGATCCATATGACTGTATAAACTCCCATAATGACCTGCAGAAGCCAGTCTTCCTCAAGCCCTTCAATCATTCATCATCCCTCAGTCACTGAGCATGACCATGCAGTGGTCCCTGAAGGGAGGGGGCTGTGTAAGACACAGAGCCTGTCATGTGGACTGTATCAGTGTTTCAGAATGACATGAAGGATAGCCATTCCAGAGAGGTCTTCCTTAAGGTCTATGCTTAAAAATGTCTTAATTTATAACTATAAATACAGATGATCCACTTCTGGCTGTTTGATAGTTTATTGGAGACTAAGAATCTCATGGGCTTTCTGGCCTGGGCTGGCTTCAAACTATGGATCCTCAGCTCTCAGCCTCTGAGTAGCTAAGAATACAAGTGTGATCCCCTAGCACCCAGCGTGTTGTTTCTTTTCGAACAAGAAGATGAGCATTTTGTAAGGGAGGAGTAGGATCAGGAACGCAAGCACAGCCAGTGAGTCAGAGATGGGGGCTGGCTGAAGAGTGCAAAGATGTTTCTCTGAGAGTGAAAAGGAGAAAGCAAGATGGTAAAAACAAACATTTAACCAACAAAAAGCTGGAAGTAGAGCTGTGGCTCAGTAGATCACTAACTCTGAGGGGAAAGATAAGCCAAGACTGTAAGGGCCAATATTTAACTCCAGTATCAGCACACATACCAAAAAAAAAAAAAAAAAAATGCCGAGCCCCTGGTGGCTTAGGCCTGTAATCCTAGCTACTGAGGCTGAGAGCTAAGAATTGCAGTTCAAAGCCAGCCCAGGAGGAAAGTCCATGAGACTTGTATCTCCAATTAACTATTAAAATAATAATAATATAAATGGTACTGTGGCTCAAAGTGGTAGAGCACTAGCCTTGAGCACAAAAGCTCAGGGACAGCATCCAAGCCCTGAATTTAAGCTGAATTTAAGCTCCAGGATCAGCACCAAAAATAAATAATTTATATATATACACATACTTAACAGGTTATAAGCGGTTATAACCACTGCTTTTTCATATGAACTTGCTATGACTAATGTAGACACCAAAACATATCTATATTCCCTAAAATACTTAGCATAAATCACCCAAGTACACAGCCTCTTCAATCTTAGGGCCTTAACAGCTGGTCCCCCGGCCTGCCCAGGCCATGATCTCGGCAGACATACCATCCCTCCTCTGAAGTCTCCTGACTCCACTGGGACAGGAAGAACGGTGGCCAGGTTGGCTGCACATTTCCTTTGGTCTGACAGCTTACCTTGCTTTCCCCAGCAGTAGGCATCAGACACGGCTATTTCAATCACCCAGTTGTTCTACTCACCATTGAACCTTTCAGCAACAAAATGTCCTAAGTTGTTACACTAAATTCTTTTATAATTCAATTACTTATTGATGCCAGAACCCCGAATTAAATTAATTAGGAGGCCTGGCTTCAAAGTCATGCTCAATTTAACAGCAGATAAAGGGCCCACAATGTTCTCTGCAGGAAGAAACTGCTGTCTCGCTTCCAGCACTTTTGGGGGAGGTTTCCTCTCACCCAGAAGCAGTTGTCAACCCTCAGCCATGGACTCAGACCATGTCCACCTCGTTAAAGTGCAATGGACATCATTCATCCATTTTCCCACATATTCCCAACTGAGCCATTAGAAAGGAATCTAGGAAAACTAATGATTTTTCCAGACAGCAGCCTTGGGCAGAGGATATTATCAATACAGACAGCAGTGGAGACAGAGGAAGCTGGTAAAGAATTCATAATGCCAGCCGGGTGGTGGCTCATGCCTGTAATACTAGCTACTCAGGAGGCTGATATCTGAGGATCCCAGTTCAAAGCCAGCCCAGGCAGGAAAGTCCTTGAGACTCTTATCTCCAAAAAACTACTCAGAAAAAGCTGGAAGTGGTGCTGTGGCTCAAGTGGTAGAGGCTCACGGTCAGGCCTAGGCCCTGAGTTCAAACCCCAGGACCAGCAAAAAAAAAAAAAAAAGACAGAAGTAGAACTGTTGCTCAAGTGGCAGAGAGTGCTAGCCAGCCTTGAGCAAAAGAAGCTCAGGGACAGCACCCTAGCCAAGTTCACTCCCAAGACTGGAAAAAATAAAAGATAATTCAGAATGCCGTCCCATCAGTAAAGGGATGATAGTACACAACACTAAACAGGAGTAAATCCATTCCTCTGAATTTTTTTTTTGGGGGGGGGGTCCAGTCGTGGGGCCTGAACTCTGGGCCTGAGCGCTGTCCCTCAGCTCTTCAGCTCAAGGCTAGCGCTCTACCACTTGAGCCACAGCGCCACTTCTGGATTTTTCTTTTTGCTTATGTGGTGCTGAGGAATCGAACCCAGGGCCTCATGCATGCAAGGCAAGCGCTCTACCACTCAGCCACCTTTCCAGTCCCTCTTCTGAATTTTTAAGGAACTGTTTCCAAAAGACACAAGCAAGTTAGGCATGGGTGGCTTAGACCTATAAATCCTAGCTACTCAGGAGGCCAACAACTGAGGATCATGGTTCTAAGCCAGTCCAGGAAGGCAGAAGTGGAAGTGTGACTCAAGTGGTAGAGCTCCAGCCCTGAGTGAAAATAAAACAAGCAGTAGCAAGGCCCTGAGTTCAAACCCTAGTACACACACACACACACACACACACTCTCTCTCTCTCTCTTTCTCTCTCTCTACTAAAAAGAAAGCAGCTCCCCTCTTCCAATAGGTTCCCAGTGTCTGGGCACAGCTGCCCTCCATGGATGTGTGGGGGTGCACGGATGCATGAAGGCTAAGAAAAAGATAGCAGTTCACAGGCCATGGAGACTCCAAAAAGACCTTCCTCCAACACAGCTTCCTGTATCCACACACTGCTGACTGCATGCCTGCCTGAACCAGGTCATGTATAGTCATTCCAATAGAAGACACACTATTCTCTAAGAAGGGGTAATCCTAGTCCCCCAGCCCTGCCCCTCCCCTCCCCCATGTACTACATTAATGTGCTTTCTCATAAATGTCAAGTTCGGAGTTTTCTGCAGTTGTTACTATTTTTTTAATAGCTGACATTCATAGTATAAGGGGTACCACTGTGTTCGTTCCATAGATCTGTATGAAGTAGGTGTGTGCGTGTGCTAGTACTTGGGGCTTGAACTCGGGGCCTCAAGCTCTCGCGTAACTTCTTCCCTCAAGGCTGGCTGTGGTTCCACTTCTGGCTTTTTAGTGGTTAACTGTAGATAAGAGTCTCTTTCCTTACGTCACTTTTCTTGCCTGGGCTGGCTTTGGAGTACCATCCTCGACCCTCGGATCTCTGCCTCCTGTGTAGCTAGAGTCACAGGCAGGAGCCACTGGTGCTGGCTGGTAAAGAGTACTTTGAACAACTCCCTCCCTCTCCCTTGATCCTGCTCATCCCCTGGTACCCTCTCCTTTCCCCCTCACTCCCACCCCAAAACAGTCTGAGAGATAGTTCGGGTTGTTTTGTTTTTGTTTTGTTTTTTAACTTCAGGGAATCTAAGACAGAAACAAAAGGCTCCATTAAGCTTTGCAGTCCTTAAGCTCCAGGAAAGGCCGGTGACCTACAAGTTCCGCAGGGTTCAGGGGCTCACGAAGCACGGGCTGGATGATTAAGCCGCCCCCCCACCCACCTGTCACTGACAGCCACTTTTCCGTGAACTAGAAGGAGGAGGAGGAAAGCAGTCTCGTGTTGCATCTGTAAAAGGTTAGGCCAAATATTGGGGGTGAATCCAAAGACAGACTGAGCACACACCCCGAGCAGGTGCCTGGCTCTGCTCTAGGCGCCCAGACACCCCCAACTCACCAAGGCCCGGATGAAGGACCCCGAGGCGGAGGCAGCGTGGGCCTCAGTGCGACGGGCTGGGCCAAGGCCGCGCCGAGGGCGGGCCGCTGGGCTGGGGGGGGGGGTGCGGGGAGGGGGGGCGTCTACACCCCGGCCGGCCTCGCGGAGAGCACTGGATGCCGACGGCCCGGGGGTATTCACCTGAGCGGCTCAGCACCTCCCACTCGCGGGGGCCGCAGAAAATCGCCGCCAAGGCCACGAGCTCCTCGCGCACCAGCGCCGCCGCCATGTCCGCGACGCACCGCAGCCTCCAAGCCACTTCCGGCGCGGCCGCTCTCCCTCGGCCAGGTGCGGCAGCATAGCCTCAGGACCACTGGAGGGCGCCCCGCGCCTCCGCAGCCAGGAAGGACGGAAATGGGAGGGCGGGACAGTGAGTGGGTGGGCGGGGCTGGCGGGGCGGGCGGGGGCGGGCGGGGCGGGCGGGGGTGGGCGGGGCGGGCGGGGGTGGGCGGGGCGGGCGGGGGTGGGCGGGGCGGGCGGGGCGGGCGGGGGTGGGCGGGGCGGGCGGGGGTGGGCGGGGCGGCCGGGGGTGGGCGGGGCGGGCGGGGCAGGCCCGGTGGTCCCTAGAAGCCACGCCCATGCTCTCCGATCTTCAACTCCTGGGGCCTACACAAAGTTCCAAGTCCTCTAAATTAGGTTGCTGGAGTGGGGCTGGACTGAGAGAAAGAAATTTGTCAATTGAAAAAAAAAAAGCAAGGAAGAGCACAGAACAGGTGAGTGCTTCTCCAGCCCTGGAAGTGTTTTTAAGATACAGTTGGGAACCAAACAGGCACGTTCTCTGCCACCGTGGGACTCAGGATCAGCCAGGACTGAGGTGAAGATGGTCCTGATAAGAAATCACTGCTGCTGGAGGGCAGACTTCACTCTTGACACAAAGATGTTTCTCAATCAGTCCTATCCCCTCCAAACACAAGGTAACTGGCAGGAAAAAGAGGCTCAGGGTAAAAGTTACACAGTTAAACTTGCATCTGTGGATCACACCTGTAGTCTGTAAGGTTCTCCAGAAAGGAAAACCCACCACATGGTTGAGGCAGAAAAGAGTTTGGGGGAGGGGGAAGCAATGGCAGGAGGCGGGACCAGAGTGGATTCAAAAGTGATCCCAGAGCCTGGGGTTCTTTGCTGACTCAGTCAGGTGATGACTGCTTTCAGGCAGGAGAAGAGGAAGCAGGTGGTAATCCTGAACTACTCAGGAAGCTGAGATCTATGGATCACTGTCCAAAGCCAGCCCAGGTAAAAAATTATGTGAAGAGACACTGTACAAAAAGAAATATACTCCCGGGGCTGAGAAGGTGGCTCCGTGGTACAGTGCCTGCCTTGCATGCATGAGGCCCTGGGTTCAATTCCTCAGCACTACATAAGCAGAAAAAGCCGGAAGTGGCGCTGTGGCTCAAGTGGTAGAGCGCTAGCCTTGAGCTGAAGAGCTGAGGGACAGCACCCAGGCCCAGAGTTCAGCCCCCACGACTGACAAAAGAAAAAAGAAAGAAATATATTCCTTTCCTGATACATGTAATTGTAATCCCTCTGTATATCGCCTCTATAATAACAATAAATTAATTTTTTTAAAGTCTGAGATTCTTATCTCTAATAAACTGTAATAAGAAAAAACAAGTGGAAGGGGGCTCAAATGGCGGAGTGCTAACACTGAGCACAGAAGCTCAGGAACAGCACTCAGGCCCTAAATTCAAATCCCAGGACCAACACACACACACACACACACACACACACAGAGTTAATTTATAAAGCTCAAGAGGTAAAAATGGAGAGGGATGAAGTGGAGTTTGTTAGGTGATTACCTCTTTCAAATTATGTGAGCCAAGTCTTCTATGGAAGGTTAAGTTGAAAAGGTAATTTTTTTTTCCAGAAACTACTTCCACTGATAGGGAGCAATGTAGGAATCTTGGCATTAAAAACCTTGATGGGTTAGAAAACTGTTTTCCTTTGCCTTCAGACTTCAAGAGGGATGAAAGAGGTTTGGTCTTAATCGTTTTCCATGGCTGTGTGCAGAATTAACCAGATCTGACCCATTGTTTTAAGACAAAGGAGATAGATATAAAATGAAGCCAGAGGAGCCACAGGTTTTAGCCTGCTTTTAGTTGACTTGTGGGTCTAAGTAAGGAGTTAATGCTTTGGGGCAGAAAAACATTTTCTAAGTATCTGTTTGAGACCTACAGACATCAGAATAAACTTACTTGACTTTAAGACTCATAATCCATATAAGCATCATCACTCTTATTTTCTCTGCTGCTAAAAAAGGAGTTTTTTTGTTTTTTGTTTTTTTAAGCAGAAGATCTGGCCATCCAAATACTGAAAACTAACAAGATGGACTGTAGGACAAATGGTTCCAGAATGTCATGGGATTTCAGTGACCCCAAGTAATCAAGAACCCTGCTGTGCACGTAATTGGAAAGACAAAGGTTTATTTAAACTCATAATTATCTCTAATGCGGCCAATTTGTTTTAAAAGACAAGAAAAGGAATTCCTTTGAGTTATTTCTAACATAGCAGTACTTCAGTAGGCTCATAATTAACCACTAAATAGATTGGTGAAGAAAAGAATTAAATTTTAATGTAAAATGTCACTAAATTGCCTGGCCACCCTTGGCTTATACCTGTATCCTAGCTACTCAGGAGGCTGAGATCTGAGGATTGTGGCTCAAAGTCAGCCCAGGCAGAAAAGTCTATGAGACGCTTATCTCCAATTAATCTCAGAAAAAGCCAGAAGTGGCACTGTGGCTCAAGTAGTAGAGTGCTAACCTTGAGCAAAAGGAGGCCAAGGACAGCACTAAGCCCAGAGTTCAAGCCCCAGGACCAGCAAAAAAGAAAAGTCACTAGGTTATTTTTTTTTTTTTTTGCTTCAATGTTACTATGAAAAGTGGTAGGAGCCTGGGTTCCTGATGGTTCACGCCTAGAATCCTAGCTATAGTCCAGGCTGAGAACTGGAGGATTGCAGTTCTAAGCTGGTGGTGGCAAAAAAGGCTGAGACTCCATTTCTAAAACAGCCAGCACAAACCCAAACTGGAGCCATGTATGCATCACAGGGTAGAGCACCGGTTTTTTGTGAGCATGCAAGCTGACTAAGAGTACGAGCCTTGAGTTCAAGCCCTGCTACTAACACCAAAAAGCAGAGTGGTAGCAAAACATTAGTTATTTTACTCATTAAAGATAATATAGATAATAAATCTGGGTGGTGGAGCACATGCCTATAATCTCAGCACACTAGAGGATGAGGCTAGATCTTCAACTAGAGACTAGCCTAGAGATGACAACAGACTAGCTCAAAAACTTAAAAAACAATAAACATTTTTTAAATGTGAAATAACTGAATAGTTCTCATCTACTTTTTTTTGGGGGGGAGGTCTGGTCATAGGGCCTGAACTCTGGGCCTGGGCACTGTCCCTCAGCTCTTCAGCTCAAGGCTAGAGCTCTACCACTTGAGCCACAGCGCCACTCCCAGCTTTTTTCTTTTTGTGTATGAGGTGCTGAGGAATCTACCCCAGGGCCTCATGCATGCAAGGCAAGCGCTCTACCACTGAGCCACCTTCCTAGCCCCTCATCTACTTTTAATTTTTCAACTTCAATAGGAACAATGAATGAAATCATCAACACCAAAATTACTACTGTCAGCCCAGCACTGGTGGCTCACACCTGTAATTCTAGCTATTCAGGAGACTGAGATCTGAGGAACTTCCGCTAGCCAGGGCTAGAAAGTCCAGGGGACTCTTATCTCCAATTAACCACAAAAAAGATGGAAGTATAGCTGGGATTTTTGCATTAGCCTTGAGCAAAAAAAAGTTCAGGGACAGCAGCCAGACCCTAAATTCAAGCCCCAGTACCAGCATGCACACCAGCCTACGTGCACACACACAAAAGAAAGATTACAGATTACAGCTGTCAAAAGCATGAGGTGGCAATCGCTGGTGCCTGCTGTCAGCAAGAGGGCTATGGAAATTAACATGAAAGTACAGCAATGTATCACTGTATTTAAAATCTTTTCGATAGTAGATTGCATCGTTACTTTGCTTTTCCCTATTGATTTCTTTACCTGCCTTTCATAGCTCATTTAGCATGTTTAAGTAAAGAAGAAGTGGATAAGAATGCCCTGTCGATTGGATTGGATTGTCGCTGTCTTCCAGCGCTGATGTCCTATGAACAAGTCTGCAACCTGACATTTGGAAGGAACCTATAAGAGACAGTGTTATGTCACCTTGATAGTTCTCACACTATGAAAATCTCAGCCAGCCACGTGTCAAATCTCTCCATCTACCATGCAAGAAAGAAATGTTCTGGTATTCACAGACTACTGGAAATTCTGAATATTTAAATGTGGAGCCAGTGTCTTCTACAATTAAGATTATCTCTCTTAAACAGAAACTTCTCTGAAGAGGAAGGAAGGATGGCCAATAGACACATGAAGAAATGTTCAACCTCGCCGGGCGCTGGTGGCTCATGCCTGTAATCCTAGCTACTCAGGAGGCTGAGATCTGAGGATCTCGGTTCAAAGCCAGACTGGGCAGGAGAGACCGTGAGACTCCTATCTCCAATAAACCACCAGAAAACCGGAAGTGGCGCTGTAGCTCAAGTGGTAGAGCGCTTGCCTTGAGCTGAAGAGCTGAGGGACAGTGCCCAGGCCCAGAGTTCAAGCCCCACCACCGACAAAAAAAAGAAAAAAGAAATGCTCAACCTCCCTAGCCATAAAAGAAATGCAAATCAAAACAACATTGAGATACCACCCAGTTAGAATGGCTAGAATCAAGAACTCTAATAACAACAGATGCTGGAGGGGATGTGGACAGAAGGGAACCCTACTGCATTATTGGTGGGAGTGTAAACTTGTTCAACCACTTTGGAAAGTAGTATGGAGGTTCCTCAAAAGACTCCACATAGAGCTCCCCTATAACCCAGCAATCCCACTTTTGGGCATTTACTCAAATGATCACAAACAAGACTCTACTAAAGCTACCAGCACAACTATGTTTATTGCAGCATTATTTACTACAGCTAAGATATGGAACCAACCCAGATGCCCCTCAGTAGATGAATGGATCAAGAAAATGTGGTATATATACACAATGGAATTGTATGCCTTCATCAGAAAGAATGACATTGCCCCATTTGTTAGGAAATGGAAAGACTTGGAAAAAATTCTATTAAGTGAAGTAAGCCAGGCCCAAAGAAACATAGGTCCTATGGTTTCGCTTATTTACAATAACTAGTATATGTCTGAGACAAGTAGAAATGGTCAGATAAGTTGATGTTAGGCGAA